GTCAACTGCTTCAAAAAGATATGGTTGTTCCATACCCATCTGGAATTTCAATAACTTTTATTATTCATTGAAGTTTGTGAATTCCGAATACCTACCAACCTTTTCACATTTCACAAGTGTTACTAAGCAAAAGCTCAAGAAAAAATAGTCATAAGATTGAAATTTTGCATCACAACAAAAAAGTAAGTTGTTATTTATGCCATGCCAACCATGTAACTTCAACACTATTTGCAAATTAGAGGTTAATAACTATCAATACAGAAATTCGAAAATTAAATCTTTGAAAAAAATGTAGGGTTATATTTTGTTACCATACCCAATATATTTTGTTACCATAGCCATGATTTAACTTACTAAGTTATTATTGGCTAAACTCAAGTATAAATAGTACTTCACACCTGAAATATATAATTTTCAGTTGCTTGATCCCTTTTTATTTTAAACTTAAAGTTGAAACAAATAGCTTTTTGTTGTCTTGTTAATGCACACCAACAGCAATAAGAACAACAAGGCATGATTCATATGTAACACAGCACTTTTAATACTAATACTAATATTTTACAGCTGTTAATGTGATTAATGTTAATGCCTCACTGAAAGGGATTAGCCTCACTGAGAGATGGGATTAATGGGATAAGCCTCACTGAGAGATACCACAGAATTTGGGTAATGTTACTACTAGCTATACCCATTTAACTGAGTTTTAAAACTTCTAATGTTTAATATGAGAGAGATATTAACAAAGCAACAATCTAAGACTAAGGAGAAAACAGCTGTTTTATTTATGCCATCTACCGAGAAAACAACTGTTCTCTGTTTATGGGACCAAAAATGTTGTTTAACAATATGTTTATTCATATTTAGGCAACATCAGACGTTTTTTACTTTATAATGCTCCATATCCTTTATTGCTTGTAAATCTATCTCTGGAGCAGCACATGCAAGCAGAGCTCTTGATAATTATATATAAAAAACACCAACAAACTCAGCAAAAATTATAACATGTGAAATGTTGTTTTTAGAAAAAAGATACAAAAGTAATTAATAGTAAAGAATAAGGTATTTTACTTTCAGAAGTAACTTCTTTCTACTCTTGGCCAGGTCAGGTTCAGGATCATCACCATCACCCCACTACTAGTAACCTGTAGTAACTCAGTTCTACCTGTCCCATGTCCTACTGCCATGGCATTAGCCATCAAGAAAGGTATCAACATGGTGTTTACCATTAATATGGTATTTTAAACTCAATGAATTTGAGAAACAGTAGCAACATTTAAAATAGCCCTTCTTGTAAGAGGCATGCGGTCACACACCTTATATGACTTGACTTATATGAGTTGACCTTATATGACCTCGCATATAATATTTTTTTTTGACAACTTGGCACGCCAATTAGCAAATTTTGATAATTTGCATGTTTTTATAAATGCGCTGAGAAAACTAAACTAAACTGATGAGAAAGTTATAAAAATAAATGAACCATAAACTGAAAAGAGAAACAAAATCTTTGCAAATAATAAAGCAAAGCCCAGAAAAAATAAAAGCATAAAATGAACATATGTCTTTTTTAATTTAAAAGTATTTTACTTCATAGGATTTAGAAAAGATTGAAGTTTTAGAGTTATTTAATCCAAGCTTAATTACTATAAAGCTTAATTATTTTAAAAATTTGAAAATTTTAATTCTTCTCATTTCTACTAAAGCAAATAAAACTTATAAACAAAAAGATCCATTAAAAGGATTTGAACATCTAATACAGAACTATCAGTCATGCTTTAAATATATAACATTAAATCATCCTAAGCACTACATACTAATTTCTAAATAGCTTTTAATTTAAAAAAATTCAATTTATAACATTAAATCATCAGCGTTACACTGCTGTTGTGATAATCCTTAAATTTAAACAATTAATTTTTTAAAATTAAAAAATTGTCCTGTTTTAAAACTAAAAAATTGTCAAACTTTCGATTGAGACACTTCTAATTTAAAAAAAGTATAATAATTTTATACTTTTATTTATACAGGTTTATCTTTTATCTTTTTTATTATTTGGTAAGATTTTGTTTCTCTTTTCAGTTTATGGTTTCTTTATTTTTATTTTTCTCTTCATTTTAATTTGGTTTTTAGCTCATTTTTTAAACATGCAAGTTATCAAAACATGCCCAGTGCTGTGGTTTTTGTCAAAGCAAAATATTATATGCATGGTCATATAAAGCTTGTACTGTATGTCTCGTACTAAAAGGCCTGTTTAAACACAAAATTTATTATATTATAAAATTTATTATAATATAAAATTAATATTATTTTCACTTTTACTTTAATTTCATTGTGAAAGTCAAACAACTACAGTTGCATGACTCACATATTCTCATATGTGTAATTTAACATGAATTATTGCGGAATTATGAATAACATATATTTTTAACTTTTTTGCACTTTTATGTAGTCATGAATACGTGTCAGTTATCGTTTTAAAATAAATTGATTTAGATACGAAGCTATGGATTTTGATTTGTCTGAACCAGTGAGAAAAAAATCTAAAAAAGGTGAGAATTTATATTGTTTTAAAAAAATTAATTAAGAAATTATTACAACATGGCTAAAAAAAGTTAAGAAAGAAATAACTGTAAGGGAATAAAAATCCTTTCTGATTTATAAATTATTATTTTTAATTTATAAATAGCCTTTAATATAAATATAATAGTTTCTAAGTTTTTATATAAAAATTTTCAAAAACAAGTAAAACTTTAATCATTTTAATTTATAAATTTTGTTGCATTTATTACTAATGAAATTAACATAAAATATATATGGTAAAAGTTTCCTCTGAATTAAGAATGTTTATTAAATGTAACAAATAAAGAATTTGTAATTCTAATCAAATAAAGTTAGTCAATGATTTTTTTTTTTAAATAACTTCACTTCGAACAAGGCTGCAAGCAACCACTATTAGAGTTGGAAGTTGCTAGAAGTGAAAAGATGGAGATTTCCAGCTGACAGGAAAACAAGACTCTGATGAGCATTTGTTAAATAATTTTAAAAGTATAGACAACAGCTCGGAAGAAAATCACTTTGGATACAGAAGTAGGAGTGATACAAATGTCAAGCAATTGATCAACCTGTTTGTTACATCAGGTAGGATGTGATTAGTGAAATAAAGAGATGTAATTGATGAAAGTTCTTTGTAAACAATTCATCTTTGTCTTTAGGTGAAGTATAAAAATCTGAAGTGTGTAAAAGTGCAGGAATAACAGATTTACCTTTATTATAGACACTGTTAAAGATTCTCCAGTAGTCTTGGGTGCCTTATTTTTTTTTACGAGATTATGATGAGCTGAGAGTAGCGGGTTTTGGCTTTCGACAAAACCTTTTTACTATGGTTTCTGGCAATAGTGAACAGACATTTGTTTTCTGGAGAGTCGTTTTGATGATATATATAGAAGTAATGGTTATGATTAGAAATTGTAGCAACACAATAAGAGGAAAACCGTGAAGAAGAGTGAGTCTTCGTCGGAATCGTTGAGAGGGAATAAGCACATTTGTCACCAGGAAAATTTCAAACCAAGGGCCATCACAAAGAAAATCACAGAAAGAGTCCCAGACACTTTTAAGGTAGTTGTAAGAGGTATGATGATAGGAAGATTCTGATGAAGAATGAGATATAGTTTTAGAGAGTTCGAATCATGATCAGAAGCACCTTAGGGTGAATGAGGAGAAACTGAGCACTGACTAGTATCAGAATTAAGGGATAACTTAAAAACAACAAGACATTAAAACAACTTAAAAATTTTAAAAATTTAACTTTTATAATAGTTTAATTATTATAACTTTAATTTTTATAACATTATTATTTAAAATAATAACAATAATTATTTTAAGTAATTCCTTGTTATAAAAAAGGATTATTTAAAAAAAGGGGGGGGGGGATATAAATTGTTTTTCCACATATATAAACAAAACATAAAGTTTTCAAAATGTTGAGTTCAATTGTATTTAAAATTTTCATTTTAGTAAAATAAGGTTTCTTATATTATATTCAGTTATTATATTTTATTTTTAAATAGCATATTTTATGTAGCAGTGATTCAATGGGAAATAAAGTTGTCTTAAGTTTTTCTTATTGAGATAAGTTAGAGCTTTGTATAAAACTCCGAAGTTTTTAGTTTACACTGACTTAAGTGCATACATAATTAGTTTGATGATTTCAAGTAATGTTCTTTTAGAATTTAATAGTGAAGTCTCTTTTTATTTCAATTTCATCAATAAGGATTTGGAGCAAGTTGGAGCTTAAATATTTTTTTTTTCCCTTTTTTTTAAAAAAGTTTCAAGTTCTTTATCTATAGTGTCAAAAAGTTTGCTAATATCACTCTTAGAGATTAATAAATTAATATCATCTGCAAACATGATGCTCATCAAATTTTATTTATATTGTTTATATCGATTAAAAAAAGGAGGGTTTCGAGGTTTGATCTCAAACTCCTCCTTTTTTTATTTAAATAATTGTTGTGATTACCAACAACAAGTTGTTTTTGGTTTGTTAAGTAACTTCTAAATCATTTTAACACTTGGTTATTAACTCCACAGTATTTCATTTCTTCAAGTAGAGTGTAATGATCAATCGTATCAAAAACATTTGATAGATCAATAAAGATACCTAAGGTATATTTTAGTTGCTATATAAGGTATATTTTAATTGTTCAAAAGAAATTTCATTTTTGAAATTTCATTTACAAATTGATTTTTGCATAATTTGTTGAGTTATCTTTTTTAAAACCGAATTTGATTAACATATAGAAGGTTATTTTTATCAAGCTGTTTATATACTGTGTTGCACATAGTTCTTTCTAGAACTTTTGAGAATATGAAAAGCACAGAGATGGAGCACTAATTAGTTGTTTAGGATTGGTCACCCTGTTTATAAATAGGTGTAACTTTAGCAATTTTTAATTGTTCGGAAAAAATTCCTTATTTAGTTAAAATTTAAAAATGTTCTTTTTAAAACTTAAAAAAAAAACATCTTTTAATTATTTTTTTTTTTCGGTCTGTTTTTTCAAAAAATGGCAAAAACTTTATCGATAACTTAAGCTAGTGGATCTCCCATTAGGCTGAGTAGGCTGAAGCCTAGGGCCCCTATAAAAAAGATGGCCCCAAATGAGGAAGAGTCCCAGCACCAAACCACAATTTGGATTTATTCTCAACAGAGAATAATTTTGCCACCTTGAACGTTTGCCAGCTGGTGTAGTTAAAAAAAATTGGCAAAAAGGATAAAAAAAGAATAAAGCTTTCAAAATTTTTTTTTTAAACAAAAAGTTTACATAGATTTTCTTGTCGAAAAGAATGAAAACAATATTAACCTAGATGCAAATAATATGTATAATCATAACAAAGAAATTTGTAAACTCTTCATTAGTTCTGATATAAATACAGAATGCAGCATTGTTGATTTTAATAGTGGAAATAATCAACAATTTTATTGTTAACTTCCTGTATCATTTAGTCCTTTCTTATTTGAACATGAAAAATCATATTTTTCATGTTCAAATAATAAAAAAGCACAAGCAAGTATCAAATTTTATATAGAATTGACAAAAAAAATAAAAACTTTTTTGATGCGTTTGGGTAGTGATTAAATTCTATTTCAATTCTCTAAGGGAGTATATACGCTTAGGCTTCGTAAAGTATATACGCTTAGGTGGGTAGTGGGGTCTACAAATAGCATGTATGAGATAGGGGACAAGGGGTCAATTATAAATGTACAGAGACACTAAATTAAAAAAAATATTATCAAATGTGAGGTAGGTAGGTTAAAAGCGTACAAACTTTTAGGTAGGGGGAGGATTTCTTAAAAAACCGTATAGCTTAGTATTGGGGGTAGGGGGAAGAAGAGGGTTTAAATTACTTACTTTATGGACAACCTCTAACGAGTTTTAACTGCTTAAAATTTTATTTAAGTCTGAAAATGTTTAAAGTTTTTAATTTGGATAAACTGATTCAAATAAAAAAATATATATTAATGATTGCTAATTACTTTTTTTTATGATCAAAACTCTGAATAGCTAGGTCGTGTTTTTCTTGCATTGATCAATTTTAGAAGTTGTAAACCTGCAAATTTATCTTATTGATTAAATATTTAATTATTGAATTAAATAGAATGAGCAAATCAGTTGAATATGTCAGTTGTAATGATGATGGAACTTCTCAATGTTCAAAAAAAAACTATAATGTCATTTTTTAAGGAAATAATAAAAGACTTTAATCTAAAAGTTGAAGTTCTGCAACAAAATATGAAGCAATATGGCTTAAGCAATGAACTTCAAGAAATAAAAACTGGTAGCAACTTATTTAGTGATCTGAGTAGAGAAAAATAAAGACGCACAAAGAAAATGTTAAATCAGTAAGTGATGAGTTATTTAATATTAAAAATATACAAGAAAAAATATTGTCAGATAATGAGTTAAAGTTGTGCAGCCATGGTGTAGTGGTTTGAGTGCTTGCTTTAGAAGCAAGAGATCCAGGTTCAAAATGAGCTCTGGACAAATTTTCGTGTCACGGTATAGAAGTAGGCGTGAACCTCCTAGTTAAATGCACTTTTTCGATGCTCTCTGCCATTATCGTAATGGTCTTCTTGGGGCACCTAAAAACATTAAAAAAAAAAAAGAGTTTAAAAGTGTTGACAGTTTACGAATTGGCGGTCTTAAAAAAAACTAATTATGTAAAAGAGTGGGAATTTACGAAAGAAAAATTTACAAAACTTTTTAATGAGAATCTCGTAATGGAACAGGATGTTAAAGTTAAATGTGCCTATAGTGTTGGGTTTGCTAACAATGAGCGTGTGTGAACAATTGTACTCAAACAACATGACTTTGAGGACAAAATTATATTCCTGGATAAAGCTCTTTGTCTTAAAGGTATATTTATATTAACTAGGATCACAGCGAAACGTAAGAAAAAATTGAAAAGAACTCTTTGCTAAAGCAAAATTTGACTAAACTAATACTTTTCAAAAGTGGTTTTGTCATAACAGTATAATATAATATAATATATATATAAACAACAAGCAATATATATATGTATACAACATACAATATATATTGTATACAACAAGTTTATGAATTTAAAAGTAGGAATTCTGAGGACCGCTCAAAGTTTAAAATCTTGGTCGGTTGATTTATATTAATATTTAGAGTTAATATCTTAAAATTCTTTTTATAATTTTTTTGTTTATTTTTAAAAATGAGAACGAGTACTTTAATCATTAAACGTTTTGAAAGTTTAAACTTTGACCCGTTCAGGAGGATATTAATGATAACTTATCAATAAAAACTTAAATATTTTTTAACACACCATATTTTAATCATTTTGACTTCAAAGTTACAAAAGATCTTAGTTCATTATTAAAAAAAAATAAAAGATATTAGTTCAATTTTTGTATTGCAAGTAAACATTAGAAACATGCAGCAAAATATTGAAAAGTTCGATGTCATACAGAGACTTTTCATGGTACAGAAAGTTGAGTTAAACTCTAACAATAAAATGTCATTTTATA